TCTCCCCACATTGGGTGTTAGCTTAGGTGCATTATGATCCCTTCATGTGGAAGGCCAGTAACACAGTGGAAGGAGGGTTGCCATCTTGTATTTGTTGTGTTTCTTTCTTGTGCTTTGAAAGTCTGTAGGGATGAATGGGTCTCCTAGTTAACTCCCTGCCCCCTTTCTAATTCTATTTGGTTCTTTTACTTTCTGGGAGTCCCCCAAAGGGATGTCTTTGCCATAACTCAGTCCCAAACTACCAACTCCCCATAATGAAACCCCAGACACCAAGATGGCGGAAATGTCCATGATGAATTCAGAGTCCTTCTTTTAATAGAATTATGTCTATATAGATGACTCAAATAAGCAGGTGTTCTAAGGAAGTCTATCTCCTGACAAGACAGTCCCCAAAGTGAGCAGAACAATGAATTGCAGAAGAAAGTCCAAAAACAGAGAAAAAAAATTAGCAAGGAAATCGATACACTGAAAAGGAACCACGCAGAAGTTCTGTAAGTGAAAGAATCAATTGGCTAAATAAAAGCTACATTAAATAGTGTCGGCACTAGACAAGCCTACACAGAGGAATGAATTTCAGAGACAGAGGACAGAGTAGAGACAATATGCCCAGACACAGACAAAGGAAGACAACTGATGAACGGAACAGGAAGGAACCCTGAACCCTGGAAATCTGCTTTGTGTACGAGCTTTTGGCTGAGGATCTTTTTTCAAAGCGCTGGTGTGTCCTGGCCTTCTGCTCCTCTGCTCTCTGTCTGAGGCCCTCGAGCAAGCCCCAGGGGCTGACTCCAGGCAGCGAGCCAAGGCCCAGCTGAAATCCTGCTTCATTCAGGCAGCTCTTCCTGACTCCTGAGTGGGTGTGCTCTCTCTCTCTCTCTCCTGGAAACTCCTACAGTTTAATTTCCTCTTGGAACGCTCCTCAGAATCTGCCTAATATGGTAGCAGGTACATTATGTTTTTATCAGCCCCTGATTCCTCCTCACAGGCAGGGTCTAGGGGTCACTGCTGGGTCTCCTGAGTGGGTCTCCTGAGTGGGAATCTGGTACATGATATGTGTGCAGCCTACATATGGAAGGGAAGCAAGGTTAGTGTACTGAATGTCATTAGACCACCTCCAGCTCAGGCTCTGAGCAGCAAACCGCAGGTGTGAGGCACACACCTGGTGCTTCCCTCGTCCACTAGTCCTTGTTTATGTCACCTGTCCAATCTCATTCGAATGTCAGCGCTCTCTCCCTTCCTTGTCCAATTTTTCCATGTCACTGATTGACACTTATAAGATACGGTACTAAAAAAAAATGCTAAGATATTAGTTTGAAGATGAGCCACAAAGCATTAACAACACACCTGCTTCTCTTTGGCACCATGGTTGATCTGCAGATGGAAGCTGCACTCAGTCAGGAGCTCGCACTGGTGAAATCCTGCCTCTGTCGTGTGTGCAGAGGCAACAAGTGGAACGGAGCAATCACCTCCGTGGTATTACCCCACGGGTCAGAGATGGATGCTCCATCTCTTGTATCGTCTTTTACAACTGGCTAAACAAGTCAATGGTATAAATGTTCCCTGAACATCTTCAGAGTACCAAACATAATGATAACTGCCAGACACAGAATGGATCGTGCCCTCACACAGCTCAAAATACAGAAGGGACCCAACAATCACATGGGTAATTGAAATACATGGATAACTAATAATCTCCATGCAACTAAAAAGTATTATGTTTACAGTTCATTTCTGTCCCCTAAACAATTATAATCTGGAGCTCAGTCTCTGGATCTAGCTGATGTATTAAAAACAAACTAGGAAAAATAAAAAAAAAATCCACTAATAAATATCTACTACATTTTATAGGCTACTAAATTGCAAGATCCTCTTTCACAGGACCAGGAAGATGGCTCAGTGGGTAAGGGCACTTTCGGGGAAGCCTGATGACCTGAGTCCTGAGTCCAATTCCTGGAACAGGCATGGCGGGAAGAGAGAACCAACTCCTGCCAAGTTTCCTCTGACCTCCACACATGCATGCTGTGTGCACACTCATGCTCCCCAAAATAACTAAAGTTAAAAAGAATCCTCTACAAAGTCTGACTAAGCGCCCTGTCCTCGCGCAGACCTCAGCTGTAAATAACAACAGCAACAGAGCTAAGAGCTTCCCTGCCTGCAGCCGGACACTGGGAGGCAATGAAATCTATTGTTGCACTTAATCCTCAGAACAAAACATGAAAGCCATTCTCACCCTTGTTTTACACACAGGGAAGCAAGGCTGGAAAAGTTAAAGGACCCTTCCAGAGTAAGTCGGTGTGATATAGAATTTGGAACAGGTGTGAATAGCTTCCACTAGGGTTGACACATGTATAATGTTTTTATAATCGGTTGTGTACTGTACACTTCCAATCTTCCCCTCCTGACAAATTCTGGGAGAGCAATGGACAAATGTCATTTTCTTTATATTTCTTCAGGGTCTTGAATATAAACATGAGAGCCTCCAGGCAAATGAACAGAAAGAGTGTGTAGCCTAGTAATACCAGGTAAAGGAATCCAGACACTGAAAAATCACTTCACTTCACGTGTGGCTGCCAGCACCCAAGACCATCTCCAGCACCTCCTGCTAGATGCCTTCCTGTGCAGTTCACAATGAATCAGTGCTGTCCTGTGGGCAACTGGCTCTCTTCCCTGTGTGTCAGGAAAGGTAGCTGACAGGTGGGAGAAGCCGGCAGCCCCAAGGGGAGACTCATAGGGCAACCAACTTACCACCAGTGGCTGGTTGACTACTGCAGATAGCTGCTTTTAGGGTAGCGTGTCTAACCCTGGAATGTCTCGGCCAGCATCTGACTCTAATGTCAGGATAAATTATGAACCAAATCCACAGAAGTATCACTTCAGAGGACTTAAGAAGAGAACTCATGAGGGAATAAATGGCCATTCTAAGACATTAATGGGGGGAGGGGGTATTTGTTACACAGCATACACGGCTAATGCAAAAGACACTGAAGATTAACTCCACAAATGAAGAAGGGCGGGAGATGGAGGTTCCAATGGAATTATGAGAAGAAAATAGACAAAGCAATGACAAGAACAGGAGGGAACCTTGCATGAAGGCAAGCACATCCCACAAAGGATCTCAGAGTTAGAAGAAATCTTAATAGCCATTTTGTCTGACCACTCACCCATTTAAAAAATACTAAAGTTAACTCAGGGCTTGCATGAATTTAACCTGAAATCCAGATAACTGACTTTTTTGAGCTGGCCTGCACACAGTGAGGACTGGGGACACAGCCGCTCCCCATTATCTGTGCTTCATTTTCCATGATTTTAGTTACCTACGGTCAATCACAGTCTAATGATATTACATGGGAAATTAGAGAAATATGCAGTTCATAAGTTTCAGATAACTTTTGCTGCAGTATGCTGTTACAGTAATTGACCTTTTACAATGAGGCTAAGGGAGAACATGGCACTAGTCACAACAGAGAGCACAGATTCCGCATCTGATCTGGGGACATTTCTGAAATGAACTGCACAAACTGCAGGATGGGGCAGGCACTGGGAGGAGAACACGATTTGCTGAGATGTGACGCAGTAGACATTGCTCTGAGCTTTTAAATATTGTATCTTACCCTCCAAAGCACCCGTATATCCTCGACTTAGCTAAGTTCTCTGCCTTTCTTTTTGGGTGGCATGACACCTCATCCTAATGGTGTAAGACAGGAATAACTGACAGACTCCAACAGAGGGCTAAATCCCCATGCTCCTAAACTCCCCACAACAGAGGGGAAATCAGAGCATCAGGGTGAGCTAGAGAAAGCCCACGACCAGCTTCATAGCAGCCCTTCCTTTCACTGAGCATGGAACCACACTCTTCCCCAAGCTGATGGGTGTGACTCTTACAAGAAAGAATGTATCCTAGGGAAGAATGGGAATTTTTCATACCCACAACATTCTGTGCCCCGAGAGAAAGGTGTGTTACTGGTACAAGTTAATTATTTTAGGGGCTAGTAATGAATTCCTCTGGAGCGGGGGGGGGGGGGGGCTTCCTTATGCATGTGGATATAGGCACTGGCCTTTAGCCACAGGAAGGAAGCATGAGGAAATGCGTTAGGTGGGGAGCAATCTGTAAAAGACACCTGCCACACACACATGGTATGAAAGGGAAGGCAGAAGGGGGCTCAGAGCAAAACCCAAAGAGATATCAAGTTAGTAACCACATCGTATGATGTCATCCTCCTGCGGAAAAAAGTATCACATGCTGGAATGAAAGTAGGAACAAGGTCTTTAGAGTTTACTTGAAGTACTTAAAATAGCTGGCTGTCCCTCTAAGAAAATAAAACACAGTTCAATTTTGTATGTGCGTGCGCGTGCACATGTGTGTACACATGTATGTGTATGAATGCATGCACATGTGGAAAACTGGCAAGGTAGAAAATACAGCAAATAAAGGCTTATAGAGGAATGATCCAGACATCTTAGCACCTCTGGGGTTAGAAAGGCCAGTCCTCCAACAATGACAAGCTGCAGCATTGTTTATGGGAATAGGCACGAAATGGAGACCAGCAAGGGAGTCCAAGAATATTCACCAAGATCCCATACATGTAGGGTCAGTGGAACATGCTGGAAAACAAAGAGGATGCCCCCAGAGGTTTCTCTAGATAAGAACTGTCATAAATAATCCTTTGTCAGGAAAACGATATGATCCTTTAAAACAATTAGCTAGCTTCCCATACTGCTGGTATCGACAGCTGAGAGGCCAGCTCGGTTGCACAGGGGGGCTCTGCTGCCCAAGGCCCAAGCCAAAGAGAGCAAGATGACTGAGTAACAGCAAGTTCCCTGAGAAGCAGCCTAGCAGAAAGAAGGGTATGGTGTACCTCCTGGCATTTACAGCCTTAGCACCAGGCAGTGGGTGTGTGGCTACTGAGGATGCTAACAATAACAGAGCCCACACCCCGTCTCCTCGACAAGCGAGAGTCAAAGGGGTTAAGGCCCCCCTGTGTTTCGGTGCTCTCGGTTTTTACCGTCATTGAAGTCATCGCTGGCAGCCGCATGGGTGAACGGTGACTGAGCCCGGGGCTCCTCGCTCAGGGAGTAGCTGTGCTCAGCCTGGATGAGAGGCGCTGGTGAAGTCGGAGATGGCTCTACCTCCATCGACACGCTCTTCTCTGAGAGGAAGGGGTCGTTCAGGAGCTGACCCAGGACGTTCTGGGAAAACTCATCCAGGAGCTCCGAGAAGTGCTGCAAGAAGCAGAGGAGGAAGAATTCATGCTTTCTTCATCCGATACTCAACACATACTCCAGGGCAAAGAGACGGGTGGTCACTCGCACAATTCATTTGCCTGCTTCTGTCCATCACACCACGGCAGCGGAAGCTGGAGAGATGGCTCAGCTGGCAAAGTACTGGCTATGCAGGTACCAGGCCCCGAGTCTGATCACCAGTGCATACATGAGAACACAGGCACGGTGCTGCCTGTAATGCCAGTGCTGGGAATCAGAGACCGGTGGACTCCAAAGACTGCTGGCCAGTCAGACCTAATTAAGGAGCCCCAGGTCCCTGTATGAGACACTGCCTCACAAACACAGTGAGCAGCCTCTGAGGGCACTAGGGTTGCCCTCTGGCTGTACATAGTTAGTGTTTTCAACTGATCATAACCTATCATTCCTTGTCATTCTGTGGGTTGCCTGGGTGAGGAACTGACTTCACTGAGGTGCCATGATACAGTCACACTGAGCTGCATGCTTGGCTAGGGCCTGGGCTCAGGCAGCTGGACACCTGGGCCCTCAGTCAACGAAGCTGGGTGGGGCTCCCTGACAGAAGGGTAGGAATCTTCCATAAGGAACAAAATGAAGGATGAATGACCTCGGGCTCATACATCCTTGTCTCCATGGACTCTCTGGTCAAGGCAAAAGACAAATCCAGCCCAGGCTCATGGGGTGGCACAATGCAACTCTACTTTCTGGGAGAAAAAAAGAATGGTAAAATCCACTTGCAGACGAGTGTGGAGGGATGGTGCGATTCTCTGAAGGCCATTGTTGGAACGATCAGCCACACTCTGCACGAGCAATATCACAGAGGATGGTTATAATCAGGTGCCCAACTCAAAAGTACTAGAGGCAGTGCTATAGTCTGAATCTAGAACGCGCCCACCTCCAAAGTCTATGTGTTAGTTTTGGTCCTCATCCATGTTGTCATTGGGAGGCAATAGAGCCTTTAAGAGGTGGGGCCAAGCAGGGGGTCGGATGAAACGCCCTTACAGAGGACCCTCTTTTTCACTTTTCAGCCACAACCACACACAGCCAGGTATGCTGGCTTGCCCAGAGCGCCAGCATCGGCCCGAACCAATTAGGCCAAGAGATCAATTATGCAAAGTGAGCAGTTACACAAAAGGACTCCACAGCGTTAGCCAAAGGAACCCTTCTCTCTTTGTAAGTTGACTGTACCAGGCATGTGGTACAGTAACAGTCTACTCCTTTCTGTTCTCTCCACTAGACTTTTGTTTCTCTTCCATTTAATCTTTTGAATCACGTTCCATCCTCCAGCTCTAAATCTGTTAAACTTCTCAGCCCCGGCTAAGCCATGAACATGCACTAGGAGTCATCTATGTAATACCTGGGGTCACTCTCTCCCCTGCTCCACTGGCCCACACTGAAGGACAGGAAGCCCCATTAATCCTCCCTCCATCGGAGGGATGCAGTGATGCTTTGAGGATCTGCAGAACAACACTTCTCTCAGCACGGCTGGTATGTTGGTATGAAATGGTAGATCATTTCAGTTCTGGTGTGGAGGTGGTGCAGTAGCACGTATGGGTGTAGGAGAGGCCTGGGAAAGGTTTCCCTGCCTTTTGTTGGGTATTTAGTACTTCATTGCTGACATACTGAACTACATACATTTTGTGGGGGTGGCTGTGGCGGCAGCAGTGTGTGTGTGTGTATTTGTGTATATTGTGTGTGTCTATTTGTGTATATTGTGTGTGTATGTGTGTGTTGTGATTGTGTGTGTATGTTGGGGATTGGTCTATATATATATATATATAATGGAATCTTTAACCGCATCTTGGACCTATACCCACGAGATGTCAGGAACACTCACTTTCCCCTTGGGTATGAAATCAAAAATGTCTCCCCGAACTGCCAAAAGTAAAAACGTCTCCATACTGAAGCTATCCTCACCAGCTTTAATTCTACATTCACTCCCATTTTCAGCAGGAAAATGCTTCCACTCACTGCTCTGCTGCCTCCACCACTTTGCCCTTGGACACTGACAAAGTCTTTAGAGGTTTAAATGTGTCCAGGGTGAGGAGAAAATCCACAGATGCTGCAGCTACCAAATGTCAAACTTTAGAAGGTCCAGGTCATGAAATAAATAGGAAGACAAAAAATGACCCAGGCCTCTCCAAGGCATGGCCACTTAGGATAGGGTGTCTTAAACATCTCCACACACAGAAATTATCTGGAGGACCTGAAGATGGAGATTCTGAATCACATGTATGCATGGAACACAAAAGCCTTCCTTTGCAACCAGCTGAATCCAGAGAGGAGCAGGGCAGCTGTACGGCTAAAATTTGAACCAGATTTCCTGTTATACACTAAGCTAAGGTCAGTGTATGGTTCCCTAAGCAGCCTACACTTCTGGCCTGATGAATTCACGGACTGTGAATACTATGAGGTGTTGGATGGCGTTCGCTTTGAGAACAAAATCACAGTAACGGAAAGGGAAGTAAATAATACAAACCATAAGATTCAAGAGCAAGAACTGATCAGAGCCTGCCTGTTTCCAAACCACAATTCCATCCCGAGCTACAAGGTCGACGCTGGCTGGACAGGCTGGCTCTGCTAAGCCTCTAGAACACCGTTCCATCCAGAGGCAAGGCGAAGCTGCCTAGGCTGGCCTGCTCTGCTGACACCCTGTTTTCATTTCTGGAGCAGCACTAATGAATGTTTTCATGAACATCCTCTCGATAACCAATAATAAACCTCCGGCTCTGTTTGCCCTCCTCAGGCTCCCCCTACTTTGGATGATACAGTAATTATCATGTTATGAAACAATTTAGCCCTAATGACAGGCAGCCCTGAAAATTCAGTTGTTACACCAGAACCTCCCCCTCTGGAGAAAAGGAGCTCCCCAGAAGCAAAGACCAACAGTGCCTAGCCATGCACCTTGAAATAAACAGAGGTAACCACTGAGTGGGTTCAGGGACAAAAGAGATGACGCTCAATCAGTTCTACCAGATGCCACAACCTAGCCCAGCAAAATGGTGCTGGCCATGTCTACTTGGCAACTTTGGTCTTGGGGACCTGGCAGACAGGTCAACCTCCCACGGCTGGTGAAGCGCCCAGGCCAGTATCAGCCCATCACTGATACCAGCATTATGGTCTAGTGGTCCAAAATCAGAGAAAAGAATGAAGCGGGCCTCAAAGAGGAAGACCTTCTGGACCCTTCAGATACTTTAGCAACTAACTCGAGGGTTATATAAGCGTAGTTTACGTAAGTGTAGTTCAATTGCTTCAGAGATAATAGCATCACATTTTACCTCCCTGCCTATTAATCTAGCTTTGCTAGTTTACTTTCATAGCCTGCTCCATACTCAATGATGACAGAAATCTTGTAAAGTTGCCTAGCAACCCACAGTCATCTATCACAAAGCCTTGTACTAGGGTCCTCTTATTTCTAATCGATGGGATTTCCCCCCCTTGCTTCTCCCAGGAAAGAGATATTTGAGTCTCACAATCAAGCTGCGTGGAAAGTTCTTCGAAATAGTTTAGGTGGCATGGTAGGCTTGCCTGGATCCTCTCCTACAAGAGAGACACACCTATGGATCAATGAGAACACTGTGGACTAGGATGACCAAGTACTTTGTCCAGTGTTGTGCTGTTGATGAAGCATGGAACTGAGGTTGCATGCCAAGCCTAAGTGTTTCCACATTCTGTGCCCTTTCTTCTACAGCATGCTCACTGGAATCTGCCTCTAATGCTAAGCAGACAGACTCACAGACAGTCCATCCACTAATGAGCACAACAGTCTTCCACATGAAAACTGTACAAACACACCAAGAGAGTGTTCGTTCAGTGGAGAGGTACCCAGTACTGCCTTCTGTGATCCACCAACAAAGAAGGCAGAGGTATTGTCTGGCCCCTAACATGTATTTCTGAGATAGGGTTCAGAGTCATCTGGGTTAAAACCTACCTCACAACATAACATGTTTCATCCAACTCAGTGAAGACACTGGTAACTTCTTTTAAAGATTTAAGAGTGGTGTCAAGAGCAATAATAAAGACCCACTATGGGAAAACTATTTTTTTTTTCTGGTCAAAAGGATGAAATCTCTGGGCTGGGTGGAGACCTAATCTCCCAGTTAGGCAGGTCAATGGCCAGCCTAGGAGATCAGCCCTAGAAGGCAGTTTCACCTAAGTCAAGCTAAAGTGATAGAGTAATGGTCCCTTTAAAAAGATAATGTACTTACTATTCCTTCCCAGAATTCTACCCCTGCCTAGCACGGCATCTTACCGGGCTGTGGCCCTGTGGCTTCTGAGATCATCCCATGTTTCTGATTTATTCAGAAAAGCATAGTATTTCCTTCTCTTTGTCCTACCTCTGTTCTAAGCACGCTTTCTCTGGTACCTTGGGCTTCTTCACTCTTTCCCAAAAGCTCTCCTTCCAAACTTATGGTTGTCTGTCTACCATGTAGCTGGCTGAGCTCCATGCCAGCTGAAGTCAAACAGCACGGCTTTTTGTCCTTCTCCAGAAGTGGCCACACATGTGACTATGATCTAAAAGCTATTGTAGTGGAGACAGGAGGATGGCTGGGCTTGCTAGCCACCAGCCTAGCTCCAGGTTCAGTGAGAAACCCTGTCTCAAGGGAACAAAACAGAGAATGATAGAGAGGGGACCCCCAATGTCCTCTTGTGGTCTCAATGCATGCACAGGTGTGTATACTCTCACATACCTATACATACACCACATACATTCACACACACCCCATACACAAACACAATGTAGGTGAACTAATGCTAATAACTGCTCCAAGATCTGAAGGCATGAAGGTCGGGAAGAAGAAATGAGATAGAAGGAAACTGAAGGGATTATAATGAGTTCAAATAACTGGTACACAGACTTCCGATTCTATTCCTCAAAGCACTCACCCCCGAGGCCACTCATCCAGTGTGGCTTTATATACAGCTCTCTGGACAAGGCACTGGGCCAGGTGAGGGGGTAGGCAGGAAGAGGGAAAATAATTAGT